CACCCCCTCTTTAGAGCCCACACCAGAGTACCCCCCCCCAGGACTTTTCCTGCCTTAAACTCCATTCTGAAAGGGGAAGGATGCGAGCAGAGAGCCTCCCCTTTGGCCCTGAAGCTCAGATGCAGGGCGAGGGGGTGGATGCCACCTCAGCCTGCCCACTCCATCCACAGCCCACCTAGCCAGGCTCCTGTGGGGTGTGCCCAGGCTTCTCCTCAGTTCCCAAAATCACCTTCCTGTCTGCCTGGCTTGCTGTTGCTTAGCCCTCCCCCCCCCCCCCCGCCCCTTCCCCCTCCCCCTCCCCTTCCCCCTCCTCCAACAGGGGGCGTGAGGCCGCAGTGTGGGAAAGTGAGGACGGGGGAGGCCGGCCCCAGGCTCCAGGCTCCGAAAAGGCGCTCGTGTTTGAGCTACCTGGGAAAGTAAACAGGTAAACACTGGGCCGCCTTGGAGGGCCACTTGTGCTCGAGTGGGAACACTTAGCCTGTGTACATTCACCCCCACCCCCAACCCCAACCCCAACCCCAACCCCAGGCCTCCGCCATTGTCCGGCCCCGCCGCCCTCTGCAGCCGCCTGCGGTTGGGTCTCTTGGGAGCCCTGAACCGCCCTGAACAGCTCGATGTCCTAAGAAGCCTCCCAAAGGAGGAAGACTCCCTTCCTCCCCTCCTCCACCTCCCCTGGGGGCCTGCAGCTCCCCATCCTGAACGTGGGAGGAAGGAAAACCGAGCTCAGAATTTGTAAGGAACCAGGAGCCCCGTTGCTGAAAACAAAGACCAGGGTCAGGGGACCTCTGGCCACTCAGGTGGCCCTGGCAGGGGTCACAGGCAGAGCTCGGGTCAAGCCCGTCTCCCTCCGGCCTAGAACATCCTGTGATCAAACTTCCAGCACCCGTCTCAACTTCGTCCCCAAGTTTGCAGCCCACACGCACAGGGCAGAGTGCTGGCTGGCGAACTCCCCGAAAGCCAGCCCTGATGCAACCCTGGATGGGACGGTGTCTTCTCCCTGCAGAGGGGACCTGGGGAGAATGTGCTAAAGAATTCGAGCTGGGAGACTAGAGCATAACCTCAGCCAGGCTCCTAGGCATGGGGTGTGCCCAGGCTACCCCTCAATTATCAAAATCTCCTTCCTGCAGCACAGGAACATTGGGGGCAGGAGGGGGGTGCGGGGCAGGGACTGAGGTTGGGGGCAGGGTGCGGGCCCTCTCAGCCTTCTGAGTGTGCGGGCTCTGGCAGTGCAGGAAGGCCCTGGCTCTGAAAGGCCGGGCTGTGGTGCTAAAGGAGACCTCCTGGAGAGTTCTGAGATGCAATCACCTAGTTAGTTGGTGCAGAAAGGTGCGCTGGTGTCTGGCCCCCTCTCTTCCGGCCACCGGGAACCCGGGAGACCCTAGAGCGTGCTTCGGGCCCCGGACCTGCCCTTAGCCGCCAGCTGGTCCGCTCAGGCCGGCAGGCGTCCACAGCCTGCTCCTGGGGGACTTGCATTTTATGATCTTCCTCTAATGAGCCGAGTTTCTCCCCTTCAATTAGGGGCCTCCCAGGGGTCTCCCTGAGCCATTTCAATTGCAAATGTCAGTGCTTTTGGAAGCGGGTGCGGAACCACCAGGCCAGGAAGAGGCCAGGAAGAGACCCGGAAAATGGACTCGCCGGTCCCGGGGGAGAGACAATGAGCGCAGGGGCTCTGGCAGGGCTCAGAGCGGGGCATCTGGAGGCGAGGCGGAAGCTACCTCCAGCTCCCTGCCTGCCCCGCGGCCCCAAAACCCAGGTGGTGCTGAGTGTGGGTAAAGCGGGGAGTGAAGACCCTGGTTATGGACTCTGGGGGCAAGAAATGGTGTCCCTGCAGGTGCTCCTGGAAGAGGGCAGTACGACCCCCGCATGGAAGGCCCGGATAGGTTGAGGTCAAGGGTAGGTGGTGTGAGGAGCCTGGCCTTGGGTGAATGGGGCTGGGCCAGCACTCCCTCTCCAGGATCCATTTCCAGGAGCCAGGATTCCCTGTCTCTGAGTGCTCTGAGGGACCAGCCCCTCAGGGAGGAGACTTGATCCGGAGTGGCAGTGCTGATTAGATCCAAGGAGAAAGACCCGTCATGTTGGGGGAAGGGAGGGAGAAGTTGTAAACTGAAGAGAAAGAGGTGGTTGGAGGTGAGGAAATGAACAAGACCCTTGGAAGGCGTTGGGGGGGGGGGGTCTCCTCCCCCCAATGATGACTCTTGAGACATGCGAGAAGAGACACTTCTCGCCAAAGACCATTTTCCACCCAGTCCAAGAAGTGGATTGGCCTGGTCCTTCCCCATCCCGGGAACCTGTCCTGATGCCAGAGAGACAGCCCGCCCTTTCTCCCTCGGACAGGGAGGGTGAGGAGGGACCACAGGAGAATTCCCTGCAGGGCCCAGACTGGGGAACTTTTCCTGGCCAGTTATTTATTCAGCGGCTGAGTAACAATGGCTGGGCAGGCCCACCCACCCCTGTGTTCCCCCCCTTTCCAAACTCTCCCCCCACACACACTCCTGCAGGACCAACTGCCCTCCTCCCACGTGAAAGGGGGACAGGGAGGGGGAGGGAAGGAGGAAGGAGGCTAAGAAAGGCAGACTGGAGAAAGAAAAAAAAACACGAAAAGTAATGGGTTCGAGGAACACGGTTCAAACCAGTTCTAATTCTTGCACGGGGGGGGGGGGAGATGAAGGAGGGGGAGAACGGAGAAAAGAAAAAGTAGGACGAGAAAGAGAGAAACGGGGAGCGTCGACATGAAGGGGTTTCCTTAATATTGTGGACGGATTCAGAAATGAATGAAGAGATAGTCCATTGAAAAGGGTTGAATGCCATGACAACTAGGAACAACCTTAGATTTATTCCAAACAGTTAGGGCACATTGAAAGAGGGCGTCAATCATGCATTATTTCGCCGCCGAAATAAATGCAAAAACCGAGCGGGGACAAAGGCTTCCAACGGGAGCGGGACATTTGTCTACATTTCGCCCATTGTCCGCAGCTTAGCAATCGGTTTGTATTTGTGTTTGCCCGGGTCCGACCACCCAGGACGCGCCGGCGAGGAGCTCCCTCTAACCTGGGCCATTGTCACCCACGTCACATACTGGAGGCCGAGGCAGCGAAGGCTGCAGAAAGCCGCCGGGCCGCGCCGGGAGGGACGCCCTGGCCCGGCCCTGGCAACCCGGGGGCGACGGGGGCGACAGGGCGCCGAGGCGGCCGCAGCTGCACGCGAGGGGGACGGTGGGGCAGGGGCCTGGGCTCCGCGGAAGCAGAGGCAAGACCAGGGTTCCAGCCCCTCCAGCCCCCAGGCCAAGCACCGTCCCAGAGCTCGGTAGGGGGCGGAGGTGGAAAAGGGCGGCCACCTCTCCACCCCCCAACCCCTATATTCCCCCCCCAAAAAAAAGCCAAGGGGAGGGCCAGGAAGCGCGGTGCCTAGGAAAGGCTCTGTCCCAGGAAAAGTTCTGTTCCTTGGCTGGCGAGAGCTTGGGGACATAACCCACACCTAGCGCTAGCTGGGAGCCTGGGTCTCGTCCTCGGAATGCGTCCAAAGGGGACAAAATGAAAGGATTCCCTTGGAAGAGGAAAACGCAGCATCATCCGCCCGCCCTGCACCTCCATCCCCCCCACCCCCACCCCCGGCTTTGGGGGTCCTCACCCCGGCCGGAGACAGCAACCCCGCCCCCCACCCCTGCAGGAGGCTACAGAGGGAGGGGCTGGAGAGAGGGACACGTTAAGAGGCAGGAAGGTTGCGGGGCGGTCTGCCTTACCCTCCACCCAGAGAACGCGGCCAGAGGAACCCCGGAGGCGTCTGGGCAGGGGTGGGTACCCCGCCTCAGCTGGAACTCCCCACCTCCCCTCCGCCCCTCCTGGGGCCGCCTCCAAGCAGCGAGTCAACTGCCTGCCCAGCCATCCTCTGGCGCAAAGGGATGGAGGGGAAGGCGGAGAGGAGGAAATAAATAAGTCTTTAGCAAATAAAGGGGGGCTGGGGCGGGGGGGGGGGGCCGGGGAGGGGATGTCGTCTGGTGGTGACTTTGGCCGGCCCTAGCCCATCTCTCTTCTGGGCTTTTTCGGGCTCTCTCGTCGTCGTTCACTGGAATCAATTAGTCGCCTTGTCATTTCTAGCACTCATCCTTAAGCCCCAACCAAAATATTGACCTAGGAGGCTTACAGAAGTTGGGCTCTTGCCATTTGAACCGGGTCTGGTGGAGGGAGCCCCCGGCGATGGGGAGGAGAGATTTCCCCGGCTCGGCAGCCGCCCCCTACCCTCCCCGCCCCCCGCCCCTCCTCCGAAGGCGCCACAAATCGCCTAATTCCCGGTTTGCTGGGGGCCGGCGCGCGGGGGCGGGGAGCCGGGAACCCGAGGATTTTAAGGAGGATTTTTTTTTTTCTTTCCCCCATCCTCTCCGTGTGTTTTGTTTCCTCACGCTTCCTCCCCCACACACACCCCCGCTTTTTAAAAGATTGCAATTTGTTAAAACGGGCGCTTTCTCAAGTGTGTGGACTCCGGAGCGCGACAGCGGCGGTCCTTTGTATGTAAATACTGAGGTGTTAAAAAAAAAAAAAAAAAAAAAAGAGGCTCGCCCTGTCTTTGCAATTAATTGACACGTTACCCCTCTCATCTCGCTGTAGAGGGGGCCGCTGGCTGGGAAGCGCGGAGCTCCCCAAAACCCACAATTTCAAATCTGCAAATACTGTCTTCATCCACTTGACTTCCAGGACCCGCCCACACGTGGCCAACCTTTGGGTGTTAATGTCTCTCCCCCTCCCCTTTTTTTCCCCCCAACCCTTCTCTCTCTCTCGCTCGCTTCCTCCCTCGCGCCCCATCCCTCCCTCGCTACCTCCCTCCCTCTCTTCCCCTCCCCTCCCCCCTTTCCTTCCCCAGGTTCGCGAGTGGAGCCCAGCCTTATATGGACTGATCGCCCGGGCAATGGCCCATTTTCTCCTCGCCACCAGCCGCCGCCGCGCGCCCGGCGGCCCCCGGAGCCCGAGCTGACGCCAAACCGGCCCGGCGCTGGGCCGCCGGCTCCCCGCGTCTTTTCAGAGGACCGAGAGGCGCTGCCAGCGCTGGGCTTTATCCCCACTTCCCTTCCCCATCGGTTTTTTTTTTCGTCCCCTCTTTTTTTTTTTTTTTAAATAATTATATCAATAATTAAAGCCCATCCCTTCTCCCCTTCCCCGTCCCCTCCCCCCACCACCCCTCCCCGTCCCAATCTGGGGAGCGCCAAGAACTGACCGAGGGAAGCCACAACTTTGGAGGCGTACATCCCGAGGTCCCGAGCCAGCCATGTCGCTGACCAACACAAAGACGGGCTTTTCGGTCAAGGACATCCTGGACCTGCCGGACACCAACGACGAGGACGGCTCGGCGGCCGAAGAGCCGGAGGAGGAGGGCGAGGGGCCGGAGCCCGCCAAGAGGGCCGGGCCTCTGGGGCAGGGCGCCCTGGACGCGGTGCCCGGCCTGCCCCTGAAGAACCCCTTCTACGACAGCAGCGACAACCCGTACACGCGCTGGCTGGCCAGCACCGAGGGCCTCCAGTACTCCCGTGAGTAGCGAACCTGGCCGCCTCCAGTCTGGTGCCGCCTCTGTTCCTGTGGCCGCCTCTGCCCCTGGGGCGGGAGCTCAGGGCGCAGTGGGGAGAGGGAGAACGGAGCTATCGCAGCCCGGATCCGCCGCCCTGCGCTCCTGCCAAGATTTGCAAAGCTGTTTCCTTCTCATCAAGTGCTCCTAGTCCCGTAAAAGGACTTGGGCTCAGGTTTTTATTTTTTTCAAAGAGAAAAATTAAGAGAAACAGGGCAGGGGAACAACTCCCAAGGTTAAGGAAGCCCCCCTCCAGAACGGTAGCTCCCCCCTCCCCTAAGGACAGCCAGGAGACATGGCCTGGAGCCCTGGAACCAGCCAGCGAGCACTGGGCACCGGTGGAGGAGGGAAGGGGGGGCCGAGGGCGCCTGGTGGTCCGGGTATAAATAGCTCACCCTGGCCCTTGACGGATCATAGAGGACGCTTTGTGTGGAGTGGAGGGTGTCAAAAACAAGGGGGGGAAGCCCAGAAAATCTGCCTTCAATACCAGAGCTGATCCATGCCCGGGTTTCCTTTATTTTATTTTATTTTTTTTATTAAATTATTATCTGTGTATATATTTTACCATTGCCGCCCTCCCCAATACCCGGGTTTCCTTTTTTAAAAATCTGCCCACGTCTCTCCGGAAAGAACACTGCTTAAGGGGGCAGAAGCCCTTCGCCCGCAGTGATCTTCGCGCGCCACTCCCCCCATACGCACCCACACCGTGCGAACCCCCAGAAACATAAGCCCGGAGTCTCCAATCCTGGCTTCTCTTTGGCCCGGCGGATGCCAAGGGCTCCGTCAGGCGTGGAGCAGAGCGGGGAGCGGGGGTGCGAGGGGCCCGGGCGCAGGCAGCGGGCTCGGCGCGGGGCACGGGGGACCCAGGGCGCACGGAGGGAGCGGGCGCGCGGGGTCTGGCTGCCCCGGGGGCGCACGGCCTCGGGGCGCCTGATGCTCTTCTCTCCCCCCAGTGCACGGGCTGGCGGCCGGCGCGGCGCCCCAGGATCCCGGCTCCAAGTCCCCGGAGCCCTCGGCCGACGAGTCACCGGACAATGATAAGGAGACGGCGGGCGGCGGCGGGGGGGACGCGGGCAAGAAGCGGAAGCGGCGGGTGCTCTTCTCCAAGGCGCAGACCTACGAGCTGGAGCGGCGCTTCCGGCAGCAGCGCTACCTGTCGGCGCCGGAGCGCGAGCACCTGGCCAGCCTCATCCGCCTGACGCCCACGCAGGTCAAGATCTGGTTCCAGAACCACCGCTACAAGATGAAGCGCGCCCGCGCCGAGAAAGGTATGGAGGTGACGCCCCTGCCCTCGCCGCGCCGCGTGGCCGTGCCCGTGCTGGTCCGGGACGGCAAGCCGTGCCACGCTCTCAAAGCCCAGGACCTGGCGGCCGCCACCTTCCAGGCGGGCATCCCCTTCTCGGCGGCGTACGGCGCGCAGTCCCTGCAGCACATGCAGTATGGCGCCCAGTACGGCGCGGCCGGCGCCCCCCAGTACTCGACGGCGCACCCCCTGGTGCAGGCCCAGCAGTGGACTTGGTGAGCGCCGCCCCCGAGACTCGTGGCGCTGGGCCCAGGCTCCACCCCGGCGGCAGGAGAACTTGGTCCTGGTTGTTGTTATAATAATAATTATTATGATCCCGGGGTCGAGTGGACTCTGGGCTTCGTTTGAGGGGGGACGCCGGGAAGCTGCGTGCACCCCCTTGGAGTGGCAGATCACCCCGGCCCCTCTCTCCTTTTGAACCTTTGGAGAGGGCCGGACTCCTTAAGCCGTGTTTACAGAATGTTTGCGCAGCTCCGCGCCTCTGTCTCTCCCCCGAGGGGAGGGTGGGGACCGACGTCGACTCCGAGTTCTCATCCGGGCTCCGGAAGGAGGGGAAAAAAAGACCAACCAACCTCCCTCCCCTTCCCCCTGCTTTTGTGAATTTTGTTAACTATGGTTGCGTGCGTAGCGATCTTGTCCACAGTCTTCTTTTAAAGCAAGTGGAGAACGTTCACGTATAGGATTTTTTTTTTGGTCTCCTTTTTTTTTTTATAAGAAAACGCTCAATATTTATGGCCATGTAAACGTTCTGACAACCGGTGGCAGATTTCGCTTTTCGTTGTAAATAGCGGTGGTGATTGTTGCCAACATGGACCCTCGGGGTGGGCCTGTTCTCTCCGGAGGTCCAGCTTTTTTCTTTGTGGTTTGTTTTGGTTTGCTTATGTTCGGTTACCTCTATTCTCTTTGCTTTTTTAAATTTTTGTTCAGTGCAAACATTTCTCAGATATAAATAAAAAAGGAAAATGTATTGGTAGGCGCGAAGCCCCCTGCCCTATCCCCCGGGCCCTGAGTCCCGAACTTGGAGCTCCGTGGTTCTGGGAGGTTCCCCATGAGCGCCGGGCGCTGAAAGCTTTCGATTTTTTAAAATAAGAATTTTAATAAAAATCCTGTGTTAAAAAAGAAAAAGAAAAAAAAAAGCCGGGCCCTCCGACTGTTATACTTTGTCGCCCTGCGCCGGGCCGAGCCGAGGCTTGGGCACAGACCCCAGCCAGGCCGCTGGCAGCTCCGCTCCCCGCGCGTCTCCTCGGGGCCGGGCGCGGGGCCGTGCCGGGGCGGCCGGGGCGCGGGGCAGGCTCCTGGGCGGGCGGCCCCCTCCGGGCGGGCGGCCCCCTCCAGGCGGGCTGGCGGGCGGTCCAGGCCCCGCATCCCAGACCCCCCTGGGGACCGAGCGCTTGGCCTGGGGCCTTGGAGCCCTGGACCTCCGCCCGGGGTCTCCGCCTGCACCGGGGCTGCCGGGCCGGCGGCGCGCGCTCTGATCCGGGGCCGCGGCGTCCCTCCGGCTTTGGCTGGGAAAAAAGTGACTTTGGGAAAAGCAAAGGCGAGGGAGCAAGCCCCCCTTGCTCTGCCAAATCAACGAGTGGCTCCTTCAGCCTGAGGAGCTGTTGAAGCCACTACACTCGATGACTTTCACTTTGTTGCATTTGATTTACCTCGCGCTAAGGAGTGGGGGGGCGGTGAGGCTGGGCTGGGGCTGAGGCTGGCCGGCTTTCTCTCCGTTCCCCACCCCCTTTTCAAAACCCGCGACCCGAGGCGGCCCAGGAGGCCTCTCCAGGATCTGGGCTCCGGGGCAGGAGAGGGGTTGGGGAGCTCCGGGCTTTGGCTGTCAGGAGGAGCGCCTCCTCCCAGCTCTGTGGTACGGGGGAGCCAGCCGGGGGGCAGGAGGCCGTGGCCATGCCTGCCAACAGAGGCCCCCCTGCCTCTCGCCCCCAACCCCTCCTTTCTGCGTTCCCAGCCCCCTGACCTGGGGCTGGATCCCCATTCCCGTCACTGCCCTGGCGTTTGGCTGCGCGCAGGGCCCCGGGCCAGCTTTTTGGCCTGAAGTTGGGGGGACTGCTGGCTGAGAAGTTGAGTTAGAAGGCGGGTGGTGTGCGCTGGCCTCCCAGAACAGGGCTGAGAGGAGCGCCAAGGGGTTGGCCCAGGGAAGGGCGCACGGCCGCCTCCGGTGGACCCTGATCATCCACCGAGCGGAGGCTGGGGCGCACCTGCCCGCGCGGAGTCGTGCGGGCCTGGGAGGAGGGGGCATCCCTCTCTTCCATCTCACGGATTTCCAAAAATATAGAAGGCTCTGCAGCCGAGGGCCAGGCGAGGGCTCCGAGAGCCTGCCCCCTGGGAAAGATGTACACCCCTTTCTTCCAACCCCACTCTGCACGGGTGAATGAGGGAAGGGGGGGGGGCTCGGAGGCTGAGCAGAGGCAGCGGTCCCAGCGGACTGTCTCGCTCCCCCTCTAGCCGATGATCAGATTTAATTCAATATCTAAAGCAAACATGATTATCCGTGTGACCAAGTCGGCGCGTCCATGGCACTCAGCGCTCCCTGCCCGCCCTGGGACGCGATGAACCGCTCCTCCTGCCTCGCCCACCCGCCCTGGGTCATCTTGGGCCGGAGTCTGTCTCTGAGGCTCCTAAAGGCCCTTCCCAGGCAGGGCAGGTTCCCCAGGGTCCACCCGGGCCTCCCTAGACGCTGGAAAGTCTCCCTTTGTTCCTCACCCCAGCTTGGACCTGTTCTTGCTGAGTCAAGGCCAGGACTCTGCCCTCCTCCCTGATTGTGCAATTGCGGATGCCCCAACCACTGAGCGTCCCGCTCCTAACTTTCCCGTAACCGCCAAGTCCTCCGGGGCAGGGAGGTGAGCATGCACAGCCTCTTGGGGTGGGGTTGTCTGGAGGCCTGAGGCACCCCCCAAGACCACAGTCTTTGAGCCCCCGACCTTCCTGGGCCCACATTGACCAGAGGAGCTTCCAAAGGGGAAGGAGGCTGCTGGCAAGTCCCCATGCTCGCAGGCCCCCCTGTGTGAGCGTGGGACAGTGGCCAGGCCCGCGGGCCTGCGGTTGGGGTGTGCCCTGAGCGGCAGGGAGCCAGGGAGGTGGGCCGGGCGCCCGCCCCTCTGTGTCCCTGGTCCCCGCGGAGTCCATCAAAGCGCCCGGAGCCCTGTGTGGCCCTCACCCCGCGCCCTGGGGGCGCCCCCGGCGGCCGGGCCGCGCCGGCAGTCTATCTTCGCCCCATCGACAGCGGCCGACACAAAACCGCACAATGGGGCGCTGGGAGCCGGGGATGTTAGAGGCGTGCATAGTAAGAGGGCCAGAGAATGGGTCTCCGGGGACGGGGGAGGGAAGGAGAGGGCCCGCCCTCCCCCCACCTCCAGCCCGCACCATTCAGCGCGCTTATCGCGGGCAGTGAACCCCGGAGTCAGGCAGAAGTCTCCTTGGGGTTTTGTTGGGCCTGTCACTGGGTCCCTTTGTCATCCGCGGGCTCCGTGCTGGATTCCATATGGCCAGCTGGGCCGCGGGAGCGCGAGGAGGCACCCGCACAAAACCCAAATTGTGTCCGGCTTTCAAACCCTTTATTGTTGTCTGTGAAAGGAAGACGCATTAAAAATTCGTGCTATATCTATTGGGGAGGAGGTTGGAGGAGGGGAAAAAGCCACCCCTGTCTTTGATGGCTTCGGAGGGGCGCTGGCCCGCCTGGCCCGCGACACACTGAGAGCTGGATCTCTCTCCTCCTCTCCCCCAACTTCTCTCTCTTTCAAGAGATCTCTCTCCCTCCGCCCCCTCCACCGCCCCCTCCCCCCATCTTTTCCACAGAATATCTGCTGTAACTCCAGTATTTGGATGCATTTGGAGCACTTTGTGTCTGGTTCCTCAGAGCCGGAGCCGGCAGCTAGGCTCCCAGGTCTGGGAGCCCCGCATCCGAAGCCTCAGGCTGGGGCTGTGCTGGGCTCAGGACACCCGGTGCCCAGGGCCTGGGGGGTGCTTGGCCCTCTTGGGCTTCGAGGTCCCAGTAGATGAACATCCAGCGCCCTGGTTCCTGTCCGGATGTGTCCTGGCCCCCAGAGCCTTCCTTGCACACATTGCCCGGAAAGGCTCAGCGAGGCCCAAGGGCCCCTCAGGCCTGAGCCCAGCTGGTTCCAGCTGGTTACTAACACCTTGCCATTGAAATTGGTGTGCGCAGGGAAGATGCTACCTCTTTAATGCTTAATGTCTCCGGCATCATCGTTTTATTAGCAAAATTCAGCCTCAGGGGGACAGAGCATAGCTTCCACGGAAGGGGCCCCGTGGCTGCCTCCCCTGAGCAGTCCACGCTGTCACAGGCTGTGGGGGATCTTTGGGGCCGTGTCCCTGCCCAAGAACCGGCTCAGAAACTCCCTTAAGCAACCCCAAACAACAACAACAGCAGCAGCAAACGTGTGCTGAACAAACAGCGCCTGCCCAGCGCTGTGGAGAGAGAAATAGAACCCACAAGTGTCCCCTTTGGGGCACAGTGACTCAGCCCTAAGCGGGCACCACAGAGAGGGTGGGAAGGACAGCTAATCCGAATCTGGGCACCCGCCCCTTTCCTAGTGAGTACCGCTGGTGCGTTTATAGAATCAGATAACTTGATAAGCCTGAGAACCCCCTTCTCAACCCCCACCCCACCCCGGCCAGGGAAATCACTTATTTTCCTTACCTATTGACTGTTGGGCTTAGTCGAGGCCTGGTGTGGATTTCTCCAGCCTTCTCGAGAGCCTGGTCATTGAAAAACTAATCCAATATTTACCGAACATAAGGACAGTCCTCAGACGTATTTATTAAGGCCCGTGTCTGAATGATTACTCGGACTGGAGACATAGGCCAGGGGAGGGGCGTCCAGGAGACCCAGGTCCTTGTGGGGAGAGGAGGGGGGAGTCTCCCAACCAGGGCTAGGAAGCCAGGCGTGGACTGGTGAGAGGCTGAGGCCCCCCTCCCATACTTAAGTGGCCTGTGGATTGGATATTGCGTTGGCAGGTATTTCAGGAAATATGTACTTGTGGCTTCCTGAGAGGCCGGGCGCAATGACACTCTAGACTGTGTCGATATATCATCTTTTATCCAGGATCTTCAAATAAACCCCTGATCCCCCCAGCGCATTATAGCCGCCGCTATCTCTCCGAGGAAGCGATCTGAGTTTTATTGCTTTCACCAACGCCCCAGCGCGCTCTCGCGCTCGCTCTCGCTCTCTCTCTCTCTCTCTCTCTCTCTCTCTCTCTCTCTCTCTCTCTCTCTCTCTCTCCTCTGCACACACACACTCACCCTCCCCTCCCACCACCCGGTCTGGTTTTTAAAGGCTTTAATTTTCTTTTTCCTCCCGGAGCATCGTTGTTAATAAAAAAGACGAATAGGCCTCGGCGCCGCCAACCGAGGAAGTGGGAAAATGCAAGCCCGCGGGCGGACCCCGCGCCCCGCGGACACGCCGCCTGGGGCTGGAGACACTTCCCCGCGTGGCCGCCAGGAGGCGCCCGAGCTCCGCGCTCCGCGGCTCCCAAACCGGATCAGAGCTTCGGAGTCCGCCGGTGGGGGCGGGCTCCGCTCCCTGTTGACCTGCGGATGCACCTGAGGCTTGGGAAGTGCTCGTCAACACTGGGGGGCACTTTTTACTCTTTGAATCTCCCCATCCTTTCTCCACGAGTGTGCAGCCCCGTCTCCACCCCAGGTCACAGCAGCAGGGAGCTGATCCTGTGGTCCAGGCGCGCGGGCCATGAGGAGGGCTCCACAGGGGCGCACCCCGAGCCGGAGCGGTTCTCGGGAACATATGGACCTTGTGGGCCAACGCGGGGTGTGCAGTTCTGCAAGGTAAATCCAGGTGGTTCAGGGAGTGAGAGGATGATGAGAAAGTATTCTGTGTTCGGTTTGGGGGAGAAGAGAAGAAGAAATAGGAAGAAGAGACCCTCACTTATCAGCTACCATCGAGTTGGGGTGCAGCTACTTGGGCTCACCCCCAACCCCAACCAGGTGCACCTGAGGTTTACCGCAACAAGAAGCGCAAAGGGAAGCAAGCCTTCGGCCGCGTGGCGCCTTTCCTGGGCCAAGGGCGAGCGGTGCAGCGGCGCTATCTGGCCACCAGGGGGAGACGCCACGCTGACACCCAGATTCGGGGTCTGGGCGATGGAGGCGAGAAAAGAACCCTCA